GGACCATCCATCATGGTATGGCTTCTTTTCTAGTTAGTAAGAAACTGACTCTGGCACGCTACTTTGCAATGGGCAAGGCTGTTTCAGATCTCATTAGGTCATTACAGCAATACTTTAAGAACGGTGCCATTGTTATTTCACAAAAGAGGAAGCTGAGGCCTGGGGAAGGGAAGGACCTTCCACAGAATCATTTCTTCCAGGAAGTGAGGAGCCTAGAATCACCTCCTGCCGGTGCTTGCTCCCTTGACTTTTTCTCCGTTCCATGCAGTGACGGTTATTTCCATGGTCATGGTTACTAAATCCATTGCAGAGTGATTCTGCCCCCCCAGCATTTGCATATTAATGGACTGCATGTGGAAGGAAGGCCTCTACCTTCACAAAATTGTAAATTAAATACACAGCATAGGCAAATGCAGAGGACTTAATGGAAGGAAGTAGAATCTTGCAGGTTTTTCCCTTTTGGAAAACTTTTCGTGTTTGTTTTTGTGACAGCCCAATATGAAGCCCTAGGCGGGTGGCCAGAGCAGGGAGCGGAGGAGTAGACGGGAGGATGGAGCAGGGCAGCTCTGTCTGCACACAGGTGCCCAAAGAGCTGAGAGCTTGGCCTGTCTAGAAGGCCCTAGAGGGGAAGGACCACACGCTCCTGCATTTCTTCTGTGCAATTAAAAGCCACTCCCTTGACTCACTTGAGCCTCTGCTTCCTGCTCCATGAGTGCCGAGCGCCTCCCGCTGCACCATCATGTGGCCACACCATCACGTGGCTCGTCATACCTTACTGCAGTCTTCTTCCTCCCATGTCCCTGTGTCCACCCTCCTCACAAGCGTGCACCTTGGCGCCTGGCACACAGCAGGGGGCCAATACATGCTTCATGAATGGACTCTTAGAAAAGAAGAAAGTTCTCAAACTTCAGAATAACTTTTCTGGTATTGGGGCCGCAGTTTGAAGGAAAAATGAGTTCGAAGGTCACAGAATCACCTTTCCTCTGAGAGTCTAATTATGTCAGTGGCACTTCACTGCCTGGTCCACATTTGATCTAAGCTACTTAATTTCTCCACCCTTTTTTCTTGCTGAAAATTATTTTCCACACAGGTCACAGAAAAGGGACCGATGTAGTGATGAAAACACACCTCGCAGTCACTCACTCATGGACACATTGATGTCCTGACATTTGCGCCAAGTACAGGGGAAAGAGAGAGGCAAGGCTGCCCTCCTCGGGAGACTGTTCTAAGCACAACTGTCACCAGCGACTCTCAGATGAGGGACCAAGTCCTACCCATGCCTACAACTAACAGAAGTGAGATATCTTAAGTGTTGAAGTAGAAGTGTTTAAAGATGTTTTTGATGCATCTTTGACACATTTTGGTGCTGTGTCCCAATCTGCCTGGGAAGAGGGGATGCAGCACCAGGCAGGTGGGACTTCTTATACTGGGTACTGAAGCATGGGTAGGAGTTCACCAGGTAGAGGAGAGAGGAATAGGGCCAGAGCACAAGAGCCCTTTGTGCAGACGGAGCCCTGTGTGTGAAGGCAGGAGGGAGGAAGCAACATTATCTTTATGGATTTGCTGCTGTGCAGACTCTAAATATGAGGAATGAGGCTGAAAAGTTGGGCTATGGTCAGATCCTAATTGGCTTATGTAGCTTCCTGTGGAGTAGGTTCATTTGGTAGGCAATGAGGAATCATTGAAAAATACTGAGTGAAGGGCATTAATGCGATTGAAGTGCTTTTTAGGTGAAGAGGACTGTTCTTTTGCCAAGTGGAAGACACATTGGGGGGGCTGCGGAGTGGGGGAGTGACATGGAGACTGGTGTTCAGTCCTCCCGCTAAGAAGCTATTAGCAGTAGAACTGGAAAGAGAGAGGCTGTGGAGGCCTTACCCGGTGGGATGCAGTGGAAGAAGTGAGGACTGGACAGGGGTTGAAGGATGTAACGGTGACACGTGAGGATCAGCTGACTGGGGACAATGAAAAGGAAGCATCTCAGGAGAGCCAGCTTTCTGGCTCAGAGTGCTGGGCGTCAGTCACCTAGTAGGGGCTGCATTGGACCCTCCTGTGTCAAAAACTGGGGTACAGAAGAGTACCTTGCAGCCACTCTTGAATTGTATTGTGTTTCTTTTCTAAAGAAGAGGAAGATAACCTAATGCTCAGAGATGTTGAGTAACTTAGCCAAGGCCACACAGTTCATCTGTGGCAGCACCGGGGTTCAAATCCAGGTCGGCCCAGCTCGAAGCCCACCCTGTGAAGAAGTGCTGCCCCCACGGGGAGGTGCCCCCTGTGAAGGAAGCTCAGGGGTCACTTGCAAGGCCGGGCTGGCACGATGGAGGGATAGAGATAGTGGGCTGGTTTGCCAGGGTAACTGGGTGAAGGGGGCCTTTTTTATTTTTTAAAGATGTCAGCAAAAGCATTTTTATTGGCTGAGCAGAAGGAACCAGTGCAAAGAGAGGGTTCCATTTCCTCCAATGAGGGGAGGTCTGTGGAGTAAGAGGACTTTGTGGGTGCGAGCGTAGGGCCGGCCTGAGGACACGGGAGGCTGGGGCTTTGCAGAAGGAAACTCCAAAGGGAGCAGAGAGGAACGGAGGGCAGGAATTCCGGAGAATTGGTGGGGCAGGCATCTGCAGGGAATCAGGGAAGTCTTGAAAGCTGCCGTGGTGCCTTCAGGATGCTGGGAAAGTTAGAGCAGCGCGCTAGGAATTGGTGTGAGAGGCGGAGGCCACTTGCACAGGGGATGTGTATGGGACCGGCCAGTGTCACCTCCCGCCTGTCGGGCTGTGAGCTCAACGGCCTGCTCCACGGCTGTTCTCTTCATTTCCCTTCCACGTGCTGCTCTCCCAGGCTGCTAGACCCTCACCCTGGGGGAAAGAAAGAAATGCATTTTAATTTCTAGGAAAGTGAGGCCCATGAAAACAAAACCGCTCCCTCTACCAAGTGCAACACTTGCTTTTCCAGCGTATCTTAGCAGTCACAAATAGAAAACCAACACGGGTGGCTCATCCATTTGTAGATTTCATTTTAAGCCTAGTGAACAACTCCTGCGTCTCTGATGAAACACTTGGTGAGTTAGAGGATCAAAACCTCGAGAGAAAAGCATCGAAGTCCTGTGCTAGGTTCAGCTTTCGGAGGGCGCCAGTAGATTCTGTCAATGGTCATGGAAAGTCTGAATATGTTGCAGGTTTCCAAGTGTAGGAAACCATGTTTGTGTTGGAGGGTGTGCCAGGTATGAGTCGACGATTGTGGGGTCCCGGGCCCCCCCGCACTGCTCACAGTGGGGACACGTATTGTCTGTGCTCTTTTCTCTTCCACCCCAAGTACAGTGTATTGATCTCTGGCGTCTGTCCTGCTATCATGTTAAGCCTGAACTGTCAGGCTCTTTTCATTTTGAACCGTCTTTCTCTTTCTTCAGGGGTCTGTCTAATTTGTACTGAGTTTCATTCAGTCCCCTAGTTGATCTTTAATGCCATGTTTAGATGGCATTTTAAACCATTGATTCAGTAAACACTAGGAAACGCAATTCTTATCATTACCATTACAATGAATTCAGAGGAGGCAACACATGTTTAATGTTACATCTTATAAAAACTTAAATTTTGGAAAAGATGAAGTAAAAATATTCTCAGAAAAGATTAAGTAAATAGACTCATAAATATGTACAATTAGTTTGTAATGTCCCTACCCCTATCCTATCCCATGTCAAAGTCAATGTTTGTAAGGCAAGGGAGACCAAAGCAAAAATGAACTATTGGGACTTCATTGAGATATAAAACTTTTGCACAGCAAAGGAAACAGTCGACAAAACCAAAAGACAACCGACAGAATGGGAGAAGATATTTGCAAATGTCTTATCAGATAAAGGGCTAGTATCGAAGATCTATAAAGAACTTATCAAACTCAACACCTGAAAAAACAAATAATCCAGTCAAGAAATGGTCAGAAGACACGAACAGACATTTCTCCAAAGAAGACATACAAATGGCCAACAGACACATGAAAAAATGCCAACATCACTCGGCATCAGGGAAATACAAATCAAAACTACAGTGAGATACCACCTCACACCAGTCAGAATGGCTAAAATGAACAAGTCAGGAAACAACAAATGTTGGCAAGGATGCAGAGAAAGGGGAACCCTCTTACACTGTTGGTGGGAATGCAAGCTGGTGCAGCCACTCTGGAAAACAGTATGGAGGTTCCTCAAAAAGTTGAAAATAGAGCTACCCTATGACCCAGCAATTGCACTACTGGGTATTTACCCCAAAGATACAAATGTAGGGATCCGAAGGGGCACCTGCACCCCAGTGTTTATAGCAGCAATGTCCACAATAGCCAAAGTGTAGAAAGAGCCAAGATGTCTATCAAAAGATGAAAGGATAAAGATGTGGCATATGTATATACAATGGAAAATTACTCAGCCATCAGAAAGGATGAAATCTTACCATTTGCAATGACGTGGATGCAACTTGAAATAAGTCAATCAGAGAAAGATAAATATCATATGGTTTCACTCATATGTGGAATATAAGAAACAAAACAGAGGAGCATAGGGGAAGGGAGGGAAAAAGAAAATAAGACAAAATCAGAGAGGGAGACAAACCATAAGAGACTTAACTATAGGGAACAGACTGAGGGTTGCTGGAGGGGAGGTGGCTGGGGGGATGGGGTAACTGAGTGATGGGCATTAGGAAGGGCACATGATGTAATGAGCACTGGGTGTTATACACAGCTGATGAATAACAACTCTACATCTGAAACTAATGATACACTATATGTTAATTAATTGAATTTAAATAAAATAAGATTAGAAAAATTTTTTAAAAATCATTGTGCATAAATAGGCAAAGTTTCTGTGTCCCTTAGGTGTTGGTATGTCCACTGGCAGGAGTAATCACAGGACACCATATCCATCTGGCTGGACCTCGGGGCCGCACACCCAAGTGTTTCGTAGGTAGTGATCCTGACGTTTTGCACTGCCCCGTGGAATGACTTGGTATCTGATGTCTTTTCCTTAGGAACCGTGGAGCACACAGCACATCCCGGCGCTGTTTTCAGCCTTCTGTGGCCTCTTGGTTGCTCTTTCCTACCATCTGAGCAGGCAGAGTAGTGACCCCTCTGTGCTCCTGTGAGTAAGGGGCACACACAGCTGTGCCTGGTTCCCGCCGCCCCGCCTTGTCACAGAGGGGAGAGGGCCGAGCGGTGCTCGGAGGGGTTGAACTTTTGGCTGCTCACCTAGCCAACCACTGGAGGAGGGTGGGAGAAAGGCAGGACGGACCAAACACTAAGAAAATCAAGGGTCGACTTTCAGCACGCATTTCACCTTTGCTCTCCTGCTTTGGGAGTAAAATGCACAATGTTGGGAACAGAGGGCTTTTAGCTCCCAAGTGCTGCTTTTGACTTTCCCTTGGGTGAACTGTGTGGGCAGCTCCCACCTCAACCAGGCTCCTTTCGGGGTCCATTAAGCAGCATCACTAGGCGGTTCCTCTGAGGACACACTAGACTGGCATCTCTGAAAGGTTTGTCTTTTGTTCTGTTGCTTTGTGTTCCCAACACAGCGGGGCCCTCTGGGTTCAAAGTGAAGTTTGCGCCTACATTTAAAATGTATTTAGGGCGCCTGGGTGGCTCAGTCGGTTAAGCGACTGCCTTCGGCTCAGGTCATGATCCTGGAGTCCCTGGATCGAGTTCCGCATCGGGCTCCCTGCTCGGCAGGGAGCCTGCTTCTCCCTCTGACCCTCCCCCCTCTCATGTGCTCTCTCTCTCTCATTCTCTCTGTCTCAAATAAATAAATAAATAAATAAATAAATAAAATGTATTTAATAATCATCTTCAGTCACTTGAAATATACTTTCTATCTTCCCTTTAATCTTGTCTTTTAAATCTTAGAGAAATATGCACTTTGGAAGTGGAAATGCTTGGAAATGTTGCCAGAGTGTCCGATATCAACCAACTGATCGTGATCAGATAATCAATCACCTCGTGTGATTTTTCCAAACTTACGGAAGATTTGGACTTAGGATAGCCATAGCTCTTTGGGGGCCAGAGAAACCATCATTTTAGGCTGCTGGCGTGCAGCAAAATGAAAGGCACAGGAAATGGACAAAAATTAAATATGGTTTGCATAGCTTTTCCTGTCAAATATTTTGCTGGAGTTTTGAATTTTCTTGCCATTTCTTTGTGAGGATGAAGCCCTGGCGGGCTGACCAAAACAGAGAGTCTCTGTGAGCTTAGCTGTTGGCAGTTGGGGTGCCCATACCCCGTACTTGACTCCTTTAACGAAGAGGGAATCTGAAAATCAAAACAGAATATTTGTGATGACTTGACTCTGTACCTCTTTTCCTTTATTATGAATTCATTAAAGGAGAGAGCCCTTGCTCTTGCCATTTGGGAGTGTGAGGTATCAGGTGAGGCAGTTTACCTCAAACACTGTAATATGCACATATTTTAAAAAGTAAAAGCTGTGCATTTGTTCCTTTTCAGGTCCTTTATTCATTGTAGATTGCTTCCTAAATGTTTACATCAAAACCTGGAAGAATTGGCCGCAGACCCTCTCCCCAAGAAGATGAAAGACTCAGTGGTGAGATATTTGTGTTGTATAACGTATGTAAGGGTTTTGTTTAACATGGCATGGAACCTGTGGGCAAAGCTCAGGTCCTCAGTGGGGCTCCGGCTAGCCAGGAATGAGAGTCACTAGTGCATCTACAGCCGACATGTGGACTGTTGAGCAGCCTGGCGGGTGTGGACCCTTCTAGAGCCTCTGGAAGGCAGATTGCTCTGCCCGCCACAGGCACTCCCTTGGTCCTCAGTTGATGGCAGTTGCTAGGATATTCCAATGAAACAAGTTCAGTCAATTCCGCCCCCTTCTGGCACCAAGCCGCAGACCCACTGTGCACAAGTCAAAGCTTCTCAAATAGGGGCGCCTGGGTGGCTCAGTCGTTAAGTGTCTGCCTTTGGCTCAGGTCATGATCCCGGGGTTCTGGGATCGAGCCCCACATCGGGCTCCCTGCTCGGCGGGGAGCCTGCTTCTCCCTCTTCCACTCCCCCTGCTTGTGTTCCCTCTCTCTCTGTGTCTCTCTCTGTCAAATAAATAAATAAATCTTTAAAAAAAAAAACCCAAAACTTCTCAAATAAACCTTCCGCCAAGCTGGTTCCTGATGTGCTCCAGGCAGTCCTCTCCACCTCTTCTGGCCTCAGCCTCATGCTAAGCTCAGAGTACTCTGCCCATGTTGAAGGCTGACATTGGCACAGCCTTTGTTAGGAGACCTTGGGTTTTGGAGAAGGGAGCAACTATATTGGTTGGAGCACATGAAGGGAAAAGGAAACAGTAAAAGAAGGAAGAACAGAGCACAAAGACTTAGAAGAAGGATGCTCTTTCTTTGTCCACCAGGAAAACGGTTTGGGGTGGTGTCGAACATCCTTTGAGCAGGTGTAGCCTCTTTGGTATCAACTTCCAAACATTACTACTTTAAAAAGTAATTGTTCCTCGATTATGTAATCTCCCAATCATTTGTGTGTTGAGCTTGAAGCGGACTGCTGTCTGGAAGGCATGCTTGTCCTGTGTTTTTTAGGAATGACAGATCAACAGAACAGCAGTTAATGACCCATTGATTGCAAGCTCCTCCAGCCAGGAGCTGCAGTCTCGTTTGGCTTGGTCTCCACAGTGCCTGCACCCGAAGCTTAGTACATTGCATTGAATTTAGACGAGTTAAACTGCAGTCCGCAATTTCAAGACAATGTGCAGGATTCAGTCAACATGATAATATTGTAAAAAATTCATACTCAGCTCCGCCCCCCCCCCCCCATGCCTTTGAATGTGGCTGCAGGGGAAGCTGAAGCTTGGAGGCTTTTTTGACACCAAAAAGAAACCAAAGCGAGGTCACTATGAATAAGGGCGTGGTTCATGAATTTTAAAAGCAGAGGTATGTTTGCAAAGCAGGGCAGGAAGTGAACCTGTGGGGCTGATGGGATGGCAGCTAAAAAGGGAGGAAAACATTTGACATTGAAGCATAGCATCAACAACCTGATCTCCAGTGTTGATGCCAGGAGACTTGCAAGATTAAACTGACATTCCTGGGTCAGTTTCTCTAAAAGCCAGGGAATGGCCTGATGTCAACCCAAAAGTTTTCCCGTGGATGTCTGAGAAAAATTGTTCTCCCCAGATGTTCCTTGATTTCATGAATGATGAAGATGCTTTCTGATTGATTGCATTGAAAAATAATGTACGAATAACGATGAAATCCGACAAGCAATTTGCTTGGCGGATGCTGCTAGCATTTCATTAGGATGAGTAGATGCGGTGGGCTAGGTGTTGCCTTAGTCAGTTTTCATTCATTTTGAAATGCTTTGTGTAATGCAGAGCACATAGCTTGTAGGTGATTTAATGTGGTGTGTGTTCTTTGCTCTGAAAAGTCTTCTGGTCTAATGATAATATTTTAACAGGACTACCAGATTCAGCTTTTACAGTTTGGTGCATAAAACCTTTTGTGCCCAGTGCAAATACAAGGTTTCCCTTCTTGTCTCCGATTTTCGTTCTCTCTCTCTTTTCTTCAAGTTCACTTTGTATGAGTAGCCCCTAAGGAGCCTCCTTAGATCAGGTTTCCAGCCCTTGTTCCTATTCCAATTCATTTGGCCTGTGATGGGGCCTGCATGTTTACAAGACTGTCCCCTCAGACTGAGCTTCCAGGGACCTCGATCTAGAAACAGAGATGCCCAGCACTCCATCAGTGGGCCTATACATTCTCGTATGCACAATGCCAACTATGCACTCAGTTCATTACCAAAACATGATAGTTAATAGCAATGTAAACTTTCCGCTTAGTTCCCTCTTATCCACCTGCCTTAGGAGCCTGGTCTTTCTTTTTCTATCCTCACTCATCCTCATCAATCTCTACCCTCTTCACCCATTCAGCTGTGTTACTTCCATTGTATCTATTTTTCTCATTTCCTAGAAACAAAAAGTAGACAAAACAACAAAACAAAGACCTCTTTTTTATCGTTCAACCATCTTCTTTTTAACCATTGGTTGTATCACCTAGGTTTTTCAGGGGCCATGCTGTCTACATCTGCTGGGTTGTATAGTGTGGGACCAAGGCTTCTTGAGTTTCTTTTTAGGGTTGGAGCACGAAGTGCCACATAAAATGTCACAATGGATTTAAAACGTTCAATGTGCTAAGCGCCAATATATTTATTAGTTAAACATGCTTGGAATCACCAATAAAATAGGGAACCAAAACATTAATATTATTGAAGATTGTTTTGGAAGTTCTGGCTCGTGTTAAGTCCTAAAGGAAAAAAAAATGTAGATTACATTATTGTGTATATGTAGAATGCACAGAAAAGTTTATTAAAATCAACTATGATCAATATGAGAATTCATAAATACCCCTAGAGACAAGGAAATTTCAAAAAGCAAGAGCATTCTAACACATCAGAAATAACCTTAGAAAATATAATGAAAACATGATCCTACTCACAATAGCAACAAAATATATAAATTGATAATGGGAATGATTTTAACAAGGAGTGTCAGAAATAAAGAAAACCACAGCAGTCTATTAAAATGTAAATGAAGTTCTGAATAAGTGGTGATAAATAGACATGACTTGATTTTGGATAGGAAGGTCGAGATTTATTAAATGCCAATTCTTTCTAATAAATTTATAGGTTTAATATCATTCAAAACAGTTCCAGAGGAATTATATTCACAACTTGGGGAAATGATTCTAAGGTTCATTTAGAAGAATAGCCATTAATAATAGTTTTTAAAAAAATCTGAAAAAGAAGAATAAGAAAGAGGAACTTAGCACTTTGAGATATAAGAGTATATTGTAAAGATTGAATAATCAGAAAAAAATTATGAGACTCATCCAAGACTAGAGGATGGGATTAGTGAATCAGTAAAACACAGAAAGGAGGCAAATTTTTATACAAATGTATTATGTGAAAATTAAATGTCACAATCAAGAATGGATTAATCAGTGTATGGTGTTGAGGTCATTGTTTAGCAGTGGGAGGGGAAAAAATAATTTTGTGTGCTGATCCCTCACCAGACACCAATGTAAGTTAAAAAGACAAAGAGCAAATGAGACTTTTCCATGTCTGATACTATGGCAGGCTGAATTATTTTAACCAAACTCTCTCCTGATTTAAACGAAAATTCTGAATAAAATACAAAAAAAAAAAATTCTTCTTAAATGTGACAAAAAACTGACAAAAAGATAAGGAATTATTAAGTCAAAGTCAAAATTTAAGTGAACAGGGAGCCAGGAGGAAGCAGAGCAAGAAGCTTCTTTTGCCTCAAGGGCGTCTGCCCAACCAGGGGATCCTGAGCCTTAGTTGTCAGCCCTCAAGCTGTGGGGCAGAGAAACTAAAGCCCAAGGCTGCCAAGGCGGGTGTGTGATGTGAGAACATGCGCTCATCAAGCTGGGGCACTGAAGCACCCACCTTCAGAGGGAGGATGAACCAGAAGAAATCTCTCCCATCCTCAGCGCCAGAGGAATGCAAGCAGACGCACCTCAGTGTTGAACATTACAACAGAATCCTTGAGATGTAGTCTGCTGCAGGTTTTCAGTCCTAGTTCTAACACCTGCATGGCACAAAAACGCTAAATTTATGAATCGAGATTGAAGTGGCCCCCACTGGAAAAACACCTCATGGCAAAACCAAACATGAATCCTCTTTAGAGGATTCTTTCCTCCTAGGTCTCCAAGTGTTCCCCAAACAAGTTTTCTAAGGAAAATGAGCAGCTCTCAATTAAAAAAAAAAAAAAAAAATTTAAACTACACAAGGAAACAAAGAACCAGTAGAAACAGGTCTTTAAGTACTTCACATACTGGAACTATCAGACACAGATTTTATTTTATTTTATTTATTTATTTTTAAAGAGTTTATTTGAAAGGACATGAGAGAGAGAGAGCATGGGGGGGGGCAGAGGGCAGAGGGAGAGGGAGAAACAGGCTCCCCGCTGAGCAAGGAGCCCAACTTGGGGCTTGATCCCAGGACCCTGAGATCATGACCTGAGCCGAAGGCAGATGCTTAGCTGACTGAGCCCCCCAGGCGCCCCCAGACACAGATTTTAAAACAACTATACCTACTGTGTTTAAAGGAATGAAAGGTAAAACTTATAGACAATAGAAAATATTAAAATGATCCAACATGTTTGAAAGAGAACCAAATAGACCTTCCTAAACAAAAAACCAGAAAATGAAGCAGTTGAAGAAAACAAAACAAAACACACACACACACACACACACACAGGAGATTAGATGCCTTTGATGAAAGAATTAGTGAACTAAAAGAAGAAAGTATCTCGGGGGTAACAATGACAGACATAAAATTAAGAAATACAAAATAAAGATGAAGACATGTGAAAGAGAGTAAGAAGATCTAACATATATCTAGTAAGAATTTCAGAAAAACAGGGGAGAGAGAGACTGGAGCATGATCAATGTCTGATGAGATCATATCTGAGAATTTACCAGATGTGATGAAAGATACTAATCTGGAGATTCAAGCATCCCAGTGAATCACATGCAGAGTAAAACACAGGAATCCACACTGGAAAAACCATAGTGAAAC